TTTAATTTTTAGGGTTTTCAAAAATTCTCTTTATTTTTATTTATGTTAAATATAACACTATTTGAATAGTAAAAAATATAAATGGATAAAAGCCAAACTAAATAGCAAATTATGTTTATTTGTCTATACCCAACTTGATGAGAAAAATAATTTTTGATAGGTGATGTAATCAATTAATGAATGAATATTATTGTTGTAGTATCAAGGGTTTAAGAATGATTGAATAGACTGAAAATGAGAATAAGTTAGTTAAAAATGGAGTTTGAAAAATAAAAATAAATTGTGCTAAAATAGTTAATTTTTGATTATAAAGTTTCAATGTTCCAATTGTATCAAATGGAACGTTCAGATTTAACCTTCCCCAAACTGATATTATCATTCTTAATCATTTTCATAAAGAATGTCACAATCTCAACATTATAAAGAATTAATAGAAAAAGCATATAAAAGAAAAATAGATAATTGTTTTCTTGTTCTTACTACACCTTCTCAGTTGAGACAAGAAGAAGAAATTGAAGAGGATGAGTCTATGTCTATGTTTTTTATTAGTTATACAGAAAGTCCAACTTTTCCATTAGTCATTCCAAAAGGATCTTCTCTAATTGCAAATATTGTACAATTTGATTAAATTTATTTATGTGATTCAGAAGTTTATATTAATTAATTTCTCTCTTAACTTTTCTAAACTTTAAGTATTTTCTGTTGTGCTTAATTTATTTTTATATTTTTTTAAAAATAAAACAATAATACTCCCTTTATAGAATGTATTTTATCTCCTAACCAAGATTCTTTCTTTTTTAATTGAATATAACACGTAACCTAAATGAATTTGAAGGAGCAAGTAATAATATTACTTCTCTCAAATAAAATTCTAATAAGAATGAATAGAAGTAATTACAACTTTAAGTTGAACATAACAGTAGTATTGATTTATCCTCTCTTTATTACTAAAACAAACACAATTAAAATATTCTATCATAATTCCATTATTTGTTATAATTTATATAACAACATATTTCTAAAATATAATATATATTTGATGAAATAAATATATGTTGATACAATTTATTGATTGTTTTCAAGTAAAAGTAATTATGAATATATAAATATTAGAATAAATTGTTTCCTAAACACTCTAAACCAATAAAACCTTCTATAATTCAAGCTAAGAAACTTCATTTTGGGTAACTCAAACAAAATAAATTAGTTATAACTCTTTTGTTATTGTCATATACTTCTTTAACAATAATTATTGTTAATAACACATATTAACTGAAATAATACAAATAACACCAATACCATTAAAGTATTTTTGTCATTATGTATCTATCAACTTAAAGAAATAACTATTTGAATAAAATGGAGTTGTAGTGAGACTTAAAAGTAACTGTCAAAATAAAACATTATACTAAGTTAATATAAAAGAGTAAATTATTTAATTTAAACAAGTTCTATTTCCTTTAATAATTCTTTTCTGTTATAATAGTTTTACTTATTGAATGGATTATAAATTATTTGGTTATATTAATAGTTTTGATTTTTAGAATATTAAGAATGGGATTGGGTAATACTATTTCAATTACATTCAGTTAGGTTGAGTTAGAGAATAAAAATATTAGTACAACACTTTTTCACAATATTAAGGTTATCAAATGAATATTTTTTTATGATTATACATAATTTTGATAATTTTTATTTAAAATTATTTGTTTTATATCTCTATCAAATTATTGAAATAGACGGATGAAATATTTATTTTCGTTCATTACTCTATAATCGTCTTCTTTCAAACAATGAGAAATTAAAAATAAATAATCTAAACTATAAGACGAACGACTCACTATAGAATAAATGTCAAACGTTTATTTAACAGTAACTATTACTTTTTTTAAATAACACATCTTAGTTATATCTGATTGAAACAAATGGGTAGATAATAAAAAAATATCTTTTAATTAAGAAAGTTAAATTTTTATAAAGAAAGGAAGTGGTTGTGTTTTCATAAAAAAATAATTTACTGTTAAAGCTTTTAAGAATAGGTAAATAAAAATAGTGAAGTGCATAATCATAATTAAGAAAAGGAAATACAAAAAAGAGTGTTAGAAAAATTAAAACCCTTTCAAATTATACAAAGTTATTTAACAATATTTGTTAAAACCAGATATAATCTTATTTCTTTGTACTATCATCAAAATCTAATTGCAAAACAACTTATTAGATGATCACTAATAGTTCATACAACAACATAAAAGAAAAATTGATGAACAGATATTCTCTACCAAAAAAGAGAAAAATCTTTAAGAAAAATGTAAAATTAATCAACAACACCCTCCTTCTTTTTTCTCTGGAGATGTTGTTTCAATGTTGATGCTCCCTGATGGAGTATTGTTTACTTCTTTCATAGATTGTACAACTTTAGTGGCAACATCTAAGAAAGCAGTATCAACTTGAGCACCAGTCTTAGCAGATGTTTCATACAAAGGAATATTACCGTTATTTTCACACCATTGTTTTACATCAGAAACAGATACAACGTGTTTGGATGGGTCTTCATCCATTTTGTTGACTAAAACAACAAAAGGGAAATCATTAGGATTAGTAACATTAGCACCATTGAGGAATTCTTTTTTCCAAGTATCAAGTGATTTGAAGGAAGCTTCATTTGTAACATCTAAAACTAAAAGACAACAATCACTACCACGGTAAAATGCAGCACCAAAACTCATGAACTTTTCATGTCCAGCTAATGAATTAATCATAACTCTAATCCTAAATTAAAAAAAAATAATAAAAACAAAAAGACACAAACCAGTGTCCCAAATTTGAAGTGTAGTAGCAGTTCCATTAATTGTAACTTCTTTTGTAAGAAAATCAGCTCCAATAGTTGCTTTATATTGTGCTGTAAATGTCTTTTCAATAAACTGATTCATGAGAGAAGACTTTCCAACTCCAGAATCACCAATGAGAATCATTTTTAACAGAACTTTCTTGTGATTTTTATTTGACATGTCTTTCTCTTTTTATCAGTTCATTTTTTTTAGTTCAGATTCGAGATTTTTCCCATTCATTCTTTTTAACTTAAAATATATTTGTGTAACACCAAACAACAAAATATTGTTATTTAATAAAACAAAAAAGAAATAAAGTATAAATAAAAGATAATTGACAATAATAACTATTAGTTTTTAATAATGTAAAGAATAAGAATGATAACTTACTATGAAACAAGAAAATCTTATGTACCAAATCAATACAACAAAAATTCATTTATAAAAAGGATTTAATTCTGTTTTTCATAGACAAGTTAATACTCAATTGATGTGAAATAAAAATGAATATTCAATTATATAAAATAAATTATATGATATTCTTCATCTTATTACTATTTATTACTTTCATTTATCAATTTTGTTTTATTGTTGAATAAAATAAACATCAACAAGATATAAACATACTAAATTTATTAAACTAATATACTTTAAATTAAATTTATTATCACTTTATTAAGTGAAAGATTATACCAATCATTAGATGATTACTTTATCTATTTATTCAATTATCTAAAATAGTTTATTTCAAATAATAATGTTATAACATTCATTTTATAAACATATTTAAAAAAAATATTGATGAACCATTTCTTTATTATATTAAATTTCTTTTTTACTTTTGTTAAGTCTAATACTTTTACTAATTTACTTATTGTTAGTCAATTTATTGATAATATTAGAATAAGCATTTTTATATATTTATATTTATTTTTGAATTTACAAATTAAAATATCAATTAGTCTATAATTATTGTTTTAATAGTTGTCTTATCTTCTATCACATTGGTTATGAATCATTAAATCATTATTATAAAATTATAATACTAATACTATTCTACTTATTTCTTATTAACAGTTATTTTTATTTTCAATATGACTTAGATTTATCAATAAACTAATATTTAAATGGTTGGTACATACTTCTTATAAATAAATTTATTATTTTATTATTTTATTCTATCATTAATTATAAAAAATAACATCCTTACAGTATTATATTACTAATACCCTCAATATCTTCTAACTCTGTTTATAAGTGTTTTAACTTCTTCATGAATTTTTTTCCAATACTGTTAGTTTTGTACTATGTTCTATCATTTTTTGTTTCTAATTTGTTTTGTTCTTCATCATTTATTTTGATATTATTTATATCTTCTTTGTGTCTACTTGTGAGATTTCACTCATTATGATAATATCTATTTCATTTCTTTAAACTGAACAAAAAAATATGATTGTCAGTTACCACAGTTTTTATGGTGATAATTCTTTATATAAAAATTATGTTATGTGAATACACTTAACACTTACTCACAATTATTCTTCTATATTAAAGATTTGTTGATTGGTATTAATTTACCTTCTTCTATGATGAGTTTTTTGTAGTTATTTTATTAAAAAACATAAAAATATCCTGAGAGAAGGAAACAAAATATAATTGCAACAAAAATTAATTATGATTTACTTATCATCATCACGTTTTTTGGACATTACAATCATAAGTTTAGCAAGGTACATAAACAAGTCAAAAGCGTCCACAAAGAGAGTCCAAGCAAGAATGAATGGGTCATCAACCCCAGCTTCAATTGCCCTAATAATTGAGTGAGTATCTATTATTAGGAATAGGATTGACATAATTACTGAAACTGACATAAAAATGTAAGCAGGAGTAAGTCCCCAAGAAAATACATACCAGATAGTTAAAGGAATATATACAATTGAAGAGATAATACCCATAAAAGTATATAACAATGTTAATTCTGTTGTGAGAAGAGAGACAATTGTAGTTGATACAAAAGCAAGAGTAGTAGCAAGTGCACAAAATACCATTTGACTACTATCAAGACCATGAGAAATACAAAATGCACCAGCACCAAATCCAGCTGTAAGAGCACTAAAAGACATTAAACAAACCTTTAACTTTGGAGATTGAGTACAACACATAACAATTGCTGGGAAAATTCCAATTAAAGAAATCAATGAACTCAAAACAACAGGAATATATAAACTTCCAACCAGCCCAAGAGCAAAGAGCACAAAGCAACATGAAACAATTAAATATGCCTGAGATAAAATCTTTGAAGTTTTAGCGTCTATTCTCATTTCAACTAACTTTTTAGATTAGATTTTTTTTTTATTATAAATTATTTTATATTATTATTATTATTATATTTTTACTTATTTTATGATTTAAAATTTCTTAAAAAATACTATTTTTATTATTTGGTGATGACTTTTCCTAAAACTTCGATTGAAATAAAATGACAAAATATGCTTCAATATTATTATTATAGTATTTATTTCTTATTTTTATTTTCTTCAGAAAAGAAGAATGTAAATCAGAAATAAACAAACATCAATACAAAAAAACAGTCATTGAATTATTATGGTTTATTTGATTATGAAATATGTTAATTAATAATATAAAGAATGAAGTAAGAATATTATGAAAGAATATCAAATGAAAATGATATAAATGAAATTATATAATAATAATATAATAATATAATAATAAAGAAATATTCATTAAACATAAAATAAGAAATAAAGAAATGACATTTATTTCAAATTGAAAGAAACAGTAACGAAGAAGATTAAAAGAATAAATAAACCAAAATAATTTTTATTCACAAAACAAGAAGAAAAACTAAATAATAAAAAAGAAAATACTCACTCAAAATAATGATATATATGAATTGAATAATCTCCATTACATATTGAATAAATGACAATTCTATTATCACTTATTTATTTCTACTTTTATCTTTTATTCAAATATTTATGTTTAACTTCAACTACTAAAATTCTTTTAAAAGTTATATTTTAGTTTTTTATTACCATTAATAAAGTAGTATAATTATAGTTTAATGATTCATAAGATAATTTTTGACTTAGTTATTATTCTTCATTACAATTTTTTACAGTATATTTTTTGGGTTTTATTATTTGTTCGAAATTGGATTGAATTTCATTTTAAATATTGTTTAATATCCAATTCATATAACTTTTAAAAAGTAATTAGTATTATTATTTCATTGCTTGATATTTATTCTTAACTTTTATATTATTTTAGCACTTCTGCCGTTATTAAATTCAAATTCTTAACAAACTTTAAAATAGTATTATATTTATTCCCATTTTTATTAAAAATTCAACAAATAAAAAAACTAACTTTTATCAAACAGAGTTTAAAATAACAAACACAAATTATTTTATTTTTATTCAAAAGAAAAAACAAAAAAGAATAACACACTATAAATATTATAAATATATTAATGTTTATAAAACAAAAAAAAAATCTAATAACAAAATTAAATAATGAAATTTTTGTAATTAAATTTTTTAATACAAACATCCACCATCAGTTAATACTGGTTCTTTCTCAAAGATAATATCATTTCCACAAGTCTCTTGTTTAGTAGCACCAGATGGGCAAGTAATAAATTGTGGATTAGCTTTTGTAGAAGTAGTAACCATAGTACATGCTCTTAATTCACTAAGATATTTACCACTACAAGTGAAATAAACAGCTCCTTCAACTCCAAGTTCTTTAGCAGCTAATTCTTTTAACCATGATTTTTTATATGATGTTTTTCCATCAGCAACAACTCCTGCAGCTTTGAAAACTTTCCAGAAATCATGATCATTTAACATTTTAATAGCTGTCATAGCATAATCTTTTGGTCCAGTAGCTCCATTATAAACATCACTTACACAAGTTCCATGTTTATCGTATTCATAATTGAAGAATTTACATTTTGAAAGAGAAGCCCAGTTGTATGATAATGCTTCCATAAATTCTGGATCATTTTCAATCATTTTAGAAACTTGAGCATCGGTGTATGGTGATTTACAACATGATGGATATCCACTAACAAAGTTTGGCCACCATCCATGAAGAGTAAATCCTGATTTAAGAGCCATAGTAGTTTTTGGTAAATCACAACACTTGCTATGACAGAATTGTCCTGGCCATGTTTCAACTAAAAGAAGATAATCATATGAAACAGCACAACTATTTGATGAACACATAGCAAAATCTTTATGAGAACATTTAGCGTTAACTAAAGCAAGAAGTAATACACACAATGAAATCATAAAATTGATATAAACAGTTAACGTTATTTAGTTTAAATATCTAAACGAAAAATTCGATAACATTCATTGTATTAAAACAGAAAAAATTCGTATTTTCTTTCTCCTTCTTTTTTTCTTTATTTTTGTAAAGTTACTTTTCTTTTTTATTTGATTTTTCTTGTATTTTGACTTGTTTTATATTTTTTTATTTTAAGAAGAAATTATTTGTTTTTAAAAACAAATAACTTCTTTTCTTAATAAATTATTATTCACAAACTAAGAAAAATTGTATTGATGAATCAAGAAGAAAAGAAACCTTTTAAAACAAGAGAAGATGAACGTGATAAGATTTATAGAGAGAAACAACGATTTGGTGATCCTATGAGACAGATGTTTAAAAAAAGAAAAGAAAAAGAATTAAAGAAAGGAATTGAAGAAAAAGCACAAGAAATGAATGAAATAAAGGAAGGGATGAAAGAAACAACCATAAAGCAACGACCAAAATACCAAGGGAAATTTCCACAAAATAGATTTGGAATTGCACCTGATTATAAGTGGGATGGGATTGATAGAGGGAATGGATTTGAAATGAAATACTTTGCACAAGTGAATAAGAAAATCATTCAAAAGAGGAAAGAAGATATTAATGATGTTGTAGATTGGTGAATGAAGGCTTTTAATTAAGAAGTAATAAATAGAGAATAATTTTATATGTTTTAGATTAAAAATACCATAATAATAAGAAAAGAAATAATAAAATTAATTTGAAATAATGAGAAAGAAGGAAATAGGTCAAGAGAAACGTGTTAGTTGAATTGATAGCAATTTACCTGTCAAAATTTCTCGAGAGTAATAGAAATATTTTAAGGTAATAATAAGAAGAAT